TTAGGGATCTTTGTAAAGTACTGAGGAGCAATGGTGTCTCTCTGGAGACTAAGGTGTACCTGATACAGGCCATGGCCTTTGCAATCACTTGCTATGGGTCAGAGAGTTGAACAATGACTAGGAAGGATAGAAGGAGAATTGATGCCTTTCAGCTGTGGTGCTGGAGAAGAGTATTGAGAAGACCATGGACTGCTAGGAAAACAGATTTATCCTTGAGAGGGTTAAACCAGGCTGCTCCTTGAAGGCAAGGATTCTGAGGCTTCGTCTGACATACTTTGGACATGTTGTAAGGAGAGACCGGTCCTTGGAGAAGGACATCATGCTGGGGAGGGTGGAGGGACAGCGCAGGAGGGGAAGACCCTCTAGGAGGTGGATTGATTCAGTGACTGGGGTAATCAAGATGGGTGTATCGGAGACAGTGCAATTGGCACAGGACAGAGCAGAGTTTAGGGCTGTTGGACGTAGGGTCACTATGAGTCTCAAGCGGCTTGACGGCACATAACAGCAACAACATCATTGATTTGACTATAACTCATAGTTTCCCTGTGAATTGCAGATCTGACCCCGTCCTGTCCTGCCCTGACCTCACCCTCTCTGACACGATCTCCAGCCCATGGCTGTGGTCACTGTCTATCCATCTCACGAAGGGTCTTCCTCTCTGTCTCTGACCCTCCACCTTCCCAAGCAGGATGACCTTCTCCAAGGACTGGCCCCAGATGACCACATGCCCCAAAGTGTGTGAGATCAAGTCTCCCCATCCTGGCCTCCAAGAAGCCCCCTGGTTGACCTTCCCCCAAGACACACTTCTTCATTCTTTTGGCCGTCCATGGGACAGTAAGCACTTTGTCCAACACCCCAGCACAAAGGAATGCATTCTTTTCCTGTCTTTCTTATTTATTGTCCACCTTTGACATGCATAGGAAGTCATGGCAAATATCAGGGCCGGAACCAGAAACACCTTAGTCTTTAAACTACCATCAGTGCTCTTTAGTGCTTTGAAAAAAAAAAACCTTGATGGCAGATTTTCCCAATGCACCACATCTCTTCATTTCTTGACATGTGCATTGTGGACCACAGTAAAATGAAGTCCTTGTCCAATTTCCCGTCTTTCACAATGTTGTCGATTGGACCCATGGTGAGGATTTTTGTCTTCTTGGTGTTGAGATGCAATCCAAAGTCAAGGCTGCAATCTTTGATCTGTCATCCTTCCGCATTGTCCAGCCCTTAGCAAATGATTGAAAAGACCAAGACCAGAATCGAGCGCACCTTAATCTTCAAACTGACATAATGCTCCTTGATTGAGAGAGGTCCCCAACAGCAGATTTTTCCCGGTTGCAGTACAAGTCCTGACTGCTGGGACCAAGGGAGTCAATGATGCACCCCGGCCAAGCACAGACATTTATTTTTTTCTTTTTTACCCTTCAGAGATCAAATCTGGGTTCAGTATCCTCAAGAGAAAAACTTAGTCAAGGCCAGTACATGGTAGCAACGGGTGATCATCAATGGCTGAAACCACAGTGGGGACTTGGTGTCAAATATTGATTATTCCACGAACTGACAAAAAAGGAACACACCAGTCTATCTTGGAGGACGTGCAACCAGGGTTCTCCTTGGAGGCAGGATGGGTACACTTGGTCTCACACACTGTGGGCCTGTGGTCATCAGGGGCCAGTCTTTGGAGGAGGACATCCTGCTGGGGATGGTGGAGGGTCAGAGACAGAGAGGAAGACCCTTGATGAGATGGATGGTCACAGTGACCACAGCCATGGTCTGGAGCCTGTCAGAGAGGGTGAGGACAGGGCCGGACAGGACAGAGGCCTTGGGATTCCTACAGCAGTGAAGGCAGGGGTGTGGGGTGCAAGGAGACCATCAATGGAGGTTTTGTGTGGATGTTTCCAAGACCTATAATCTTGTGTCATATTACAGCTGTGTTTCATCACATTTCTCCCCCCTCCTTTTTAGTTCTTCTTCTGTTCTTTTTCTTTTTAACACTTTTAAAGCTTGACTATTTTGTTTGTATGCATGTATGTATGTATGATTGATTGATTTATCTATTTATCTATCAGCGCAGGAGAGGAAGGCCCTCTATGAGGTGGATTGATTCAGTGACTGGGATAATTGGGATGGGAGTGTCAGAGATAGTACAATTGGCACAGGACAGAGCGGAGTTTAGGGCTGTTGTACATAGGGTCGCTATGAGTCACAGGCAACTCGACGGCACATAACAACAACAACAACAACATCTATCTATCTATTTATTTTTTATTTATTTTTATATTTATTCATTCATTTATTCATTTATGCATTCATTCATTCATTTATTTATTTAAATGGCAGGGGTTGCAAGTAGATTGGCAGTTCTTTCTTCCAAGGCAATGAGGTGTTGATCAGCACCTCTACCGTTCAGACAACTGTGGCTGTGGTTATGTGACTTTATACAGAGAGTTCACAGTGAATAGTAGATCTGAAGCCTGTCCTGTCTGGCGAGACCCTCACCTTCTCTGATAGGCTCAATCCACTTCTTTGAGAGTTTCCCCGCTCACTGTCCCTCCACGTTGTCCCTCTCCAAGGAATAGACTCTCCGAGCAACATGGCCAAAGCCTGGGAGGCAAAACTTAATCACCTGTATCATCTAAGAAACACTCTGGCTGCACTTTCTCCAAGACATCTCTGTTTTATCTGTTGTCAGTCCATGAGATAGATTCACTCCTCTTCTCCAACACCACAGCTCAAAGGCATCAATTCATCTCCCGTCATCCTTAGTCACTGTCCAGTCTCAGACGGATAGCAAGTGAGTGAAAAGACTATGAGCTGAATCTGATACACCTTAGTCCTCACTCTGACACCATTGCTCATCAGGAATCTGGAGAAGTCCCTGCCTGCAGGCTTTCCCCATGCAATGCGTCTCCTGATTGCCTGATGGCTGGTCCAAAGTGTATTGATTGTGGATCAGAGTAAGACGAAATCCTTGACAGTGTCTATCTTCCCCCCCACCCCACCCCGTCTCTATTAATCTGGTGGTGAGAATTTTTGTTTTCTTGACATTGAGATACAAATTGTCTGCATCTCTCAGAAGGGAGGTCTGGTTTTCAGCTCCTTCAGCAAAGAAGCGACAGCCAGGGATTCAGTCAATGGTCAGCAGCCAATGAAAGGTGAACGTATGGGTAACAGTCCCCATGTGGGACACAGGAGAGGGAAGCTAGGCCAAGCTGGACTGGGACGATTTATCCAAAGGCGCCAGTGGACCTTGAGAAACTGCGTCCATCTTCACCTTCACCCTCCACAACCTGGACACCAGACACACGCAATGGGGCCCCAGCTACGACCGCTGACCACTCTCCAAAGTGACCATAGGAGAATAAAGGTCCTCGACTGGGGAGGAATTTAGGCACAAAGCAAAAAAGACACGTGACAATTCCAGCCTTGTTTGTCCACTATAGATTTCTGTACATGCCCTCACCCAAGACTCTCTGGACTTTCTATAATAGTGGCAAGAAGCTGCACTGAAATCCTGAAGGCACCCTGTTTAAGGCCATCAGCCACTCCACAGAAGGAGAGGCCATCACCTCCAGAGTGATCAATTGTCTCTGAAATCCCATTTGAGGGTCAGTTATGGGTCGGTTCCGACTCTACGGTACACAACAACAAACCTATAATAAAACTCTGGCCCTGAAAGTGGCTCCATTGTCAGGGCTGGAAGGTGACCAGTCACAAACACTCCTTCACATGGCCACCTCTTCTGTGGTCCACAGAATGGCCCTGGACCGAGGACACAGCTCAGAGTGCGATGTGGGATACCACAGAAGGAAAGATGAAAATGAGACTAACAAAGACAGAGGAGGAAGGGAACTGGAAGGTGATCAACGTTGCTACCGGTGTCTGAGACAGCATGCGGACCAATGGTTGACTGGACAACGGATCTTCTCATTGAATAGTGTCCTCTAATTGGCATTAGGGGTGTGCCTGATACAGGCCATGGTCTTTGCCATCACTTGCTAGGCATCAGAGAGCTGGATGATGACTAGAGAGGATAAAAGAGGAACTGATGCCTTTGAGCTATGGTGCTGGAGAAGAGTATTAAATATACCATGGACTGCTAGGAGAACAAACAGGTTCATCCTGGAGAGGGTAAAACCAGGCTGCTCCTTGGAGTAAAGGATTCTGAAGCTCCATCTGACATACTTTGGACATGTTGCAAGGAGGGACCAGTCCTTCGAGATGGATATCATGCTTGGGAGGGTGGAGGAACAGCACAGGAGGTGAAGGCCCTCTATGAGGTGGATTGATTCAGTGACTGGGGTAATCAGGGTAAGTGTGTCAGAGGCAGTGCGATTGGCACAGGACAGAGCAGAGTTTAGGGCTGTTGTACATAGGGTCGCTGTATCAGGTGAGACATAATAATAATAATTGTCATAGATATCAATGGCCATTAGGTGGCAGCATAACCACATAAATAATGACAAAGTCTAGCAGTTTGAACGGTGGCGTTGGAGAAGATGAAATATCCCAACAGAATCCAAAAAAGAGCAGCTATGTCTTGGAGAAGGTACAGCAGGCATGTTCCCAGGTTTCTTGGAATCTGTTTTCTTGAAATTGTTGGCCTCTGTGGAGTGGGTGGTGGTGGGGAAAGCTCTTTGAGAAGCGGGTCACCCACCAGATGAAACCCTTGTGAATTTCTGCACGGATTCAAATCATCCACGTCCCAGCTGAGATGTCAAGTCCTTCGTGGATTACACGAGTAAGTGACTCGGTGAACATTGCTGGGGAGTCTCTGCACCTCCCATCTCAACATCCATCTTTCTTTCTTTCTTCCTTCCTTTCTCTTCTCTTCTCTTCTCTTCTCTTCTCTTCTCTTCTCTTCTCTTCTCTTCTCTTCTCTTCTCTTCTCTTCTCTTCTCTTCTCTCTCCCGTCAAATCAGATCTGACTGGTACAGGAGGAGTTTGTTCCTCCTTTTCCTGGCAGAGCATCTGGTGGATTCGAACCGTGTGCCTCTGGGATTGTAGTTGCAGCTCTTTGCCACTAGGCCACCAGAGCTCCCCCCATCTCAACATCTTAATAAGGGCTAGACACCCCCGACACACACTCCTTTCACTGGAAGGATGTCCCCTGGCACTCTCCCATTTGTCCAGAAGGACAAATGAAAATGAGACCCACAGAAAGGAAGGGGGACAAGTGCTGTGACACGGTGAGCAATGTCATTGCTGTCACACAGAAAAACATGAGGAAGGTTGAAACTTCCAGCTTCAGAGTGAAATCACCTGTGGTGTGCTGTACTCACCACTTTTGCATGTCGTTCCTTGGGGAAGGGTGAGGTCTCCTCCACCACCGTGGTGTCCTCGGGGGGTCCCTCAGGAGGTGGGACCCTCACGGAACCAGCACCTTGATCACTGTCAACACCTGGGTGCACCTGTACAAGGTGGGACACACCTGGTCACTCAAAGGCCAGGCTAGGCCATCTCAAAAGGCACCCCAGGGCTCAATACTCAACCCACAGCTGATCTGGACAAGGTTTTCAACAGCCAAAAGCAAGAACATTTTTTCAATTCCTTTTGAAAGGAACAATTGTTGATATTAGACGGTGTGGAGTGGATTATATATGTAGATAGATGGGTGGATAGAAGGATATATACAAGCATAGACGGTTTTCGGTGCAACTGAATGGATTCTGACTCCCAGCAACCCAGCAGGACTGCCCCATGGGGTCTCTGAGGCTGTGAATCTTTATAGAAGCAGATGGCCTCAGCTTTCTGCCTGGGAGTGGCTGGTGGGTTCAAACCCCTGACCTTGTGGTGACAGCTGAGCGTGTCCCCCCTGTGCCAGCAGGGCTCCTGAAAGTCTAGATACATAGTATCTCTCTAGTAGCCTCTCCTGAGAGTCTAGATACATAGTATCTCTCTAGTAGCCTCTCCTGAGAGTCTAGATACATAGTATCTCTCTAGTAGCCTCTGTGTGTCACTGTGCACACACCGTGTGGATGGAAGGCAGGTCTCTCCTAGAGTGGACCAGGCGTGAGATACAGTGTCACCAGCTGGGATTCATTTGTATCTGACTCCCAGTGACCCTTCAGGACAGAGCAGAGCTGCCCCATGGGGTCTCCGAGGCTGTAAATCTTCCCAGAAGCAGACGGCCTCAGCTTTCTCCCTCAGAGTGGCTGGTGGATTCACGCCATCTTTTTCTCTCGTTATTTTTGTTGTTGTTAGGGGCCATCAAGTCGAGTACAACTCTCAGTGATCCTTTGAACAGCAGATCTGACCCCTGTCTTGTCCTGCCCTCTACTCACCATCTAAGATACACTCAGGGCTACTGTTACAGTCGCGGTGTCAACCCTCCTCCTTTGAAGAGACTAAACGATAAACAAGTTCTGGTGGCCCAAGGTGTAAGGAGTTGTGTGGTCAACCAAAGGGTGTGTGGCTCAAATCCACCAGCTGCTTTGTGACAGAACTAAGGGCCCTCTACTCCGATGTGGTCGACCACCCCTGGAAGCCCACAGGAGGGTCAGCTGTGAGTCAGTTCCAACTCGATGGTGATGAGTGTGATCAGATGCTTAACAAAACCAGGGAAGAACTCACTCCTTAGACTAACGTAAGCACACGGCATCAGAAGGGTGGCATTTGCCCAGGGAGCAAGCTCAGAGGACAAGAAAGGAAGACCTAGAAGGAGGAAGGGAAATGAGACTGTCAGGGCAGAAGGGGGATGAGGACTGGGACATCGGAAGTGAGTTAGTTGCTGTCACAAAGCAAAATGTGTAAGAAAGGTTGACACTTGTAACCTGCTCTGTAGTGTTTCCCTCCAATCACACACACACACACACAGAGAGAGATCAGAAACCCCATGGGTCAGCTCTGCTCTGTCCTGCAGGGTCTCTGGGAGTCAGACACAAATGAATCCCAGCTGGTGACACTGTCTCTCATGCCTGGTCCATTCTAGGAGAGACCTGCCTTCCCTCCACACTGTGTGTGTGCACAGTGACACACAGAGGCTACTAGAGAGATACTATGTATCTAGACTCTCAGGAGAGGCTACTAGAGAGAAACTATGTATCTAGACTATGAGGAGAGGCTACTAGAGAGATACTATGTATCTAGACTCTCAGGAGCCCTGCTGGCACAGGGGGGACACACTCAGCTGTCATCACAAGGTCAAGGGTTTGAAACCACTAGCCGCTCCCGGGGAGAAAGCTGAGGCCGTCTGCTTCTGGAAAGATTCACAGCGTCAGAGACCCCATGGGCTGGTTCTAATCTGTCCTACAAGGTCAAAGGAGCCAGAAACAAATGAATAATAGGTGGTTACATTGTATCTAATGCATTTACCAATATGCTAGAGACCTGGCTTCCCTCCACACTGTGTTTGCCCAGTAACACACAGAGGCTACTACAGAGATACTATGTATCTAGACTCTCAGGAGCCCTGCTGGCACAGGGGGGACACACTCAGCTGTAACCACAAGGTCAGGGGTTTGAACCCACCAGCCGCTCCAAGGGAGAAAGCTGAGGCCGTCGCTTCTGGAAAGATTCACAGCCTCGCAGACAGACCGCATGGGGCAGGTCTGCTCTGTCCTGCGGGGGTCACTGGGAGTCAGGATTGACTGAATTACAGTGGGTTGAGTGTTGAGCTTTCCAGTCAGAGGGAAGCATGTGTAACAGGTGGTAGAAACGTCACTGCAGGGTGCATTTCTGCCACTTGTTTTCTAGTAAGAACATTGTGTAAAAAAAAAAAGTGCACATTGAGACGGTGCCACTCATCAGTTTAAAAAGTCCACTTCAGAGCCGAATGGTGCTTGAATTGATGAGCAGAGCAGTGGCTCCCACTTGAGGCAAATTGCAATCAATCACTCAGCCCTCATCTCAGGGCAGCTCCATCTGTGAGGATAAGGAGGACGCTGATTGAAATAACCTCTTCTTCCATGCCTTCGACAAACCTCAGGTACAAACCTGCTTATAATAACCTCCCACTGTTCTGAGCCCCCCTCACCCCTGCAAAAGTCACCTGAGCTTTCAGCCTCCACAGGCATAACACGAGAGTGGCAAAGGGCGGGGTGATCAGACCTGAAGAAAACGCATTAGCTCACATGTGGCAAGCGTCTCAACTGCCATCTAGCACCCCAAGGAAATGAGCTGCCTCGTTCTTGGGCATATCGACTTGGGGGGCAGCAAGGTTAGCAAAGACAACATGTTCTACAGAAAAGCAATGTGTGACATCCTATTTTGATGCGGTGCAAACTATGCTGTTAGAAGCCTGCTGGAAGGTATTACAGGAACAATGA